CGTGCTTAAGGACAATAGACCATTACTCCTGAACCCAAGTTTTAATCGGTTGGTAAATGTCAACAAAGTGCATGTGCAATCCTCAGGACGCTAACACTCTATGGTATTTAATTGTATTTCAGTCCTTATAAAAAAAACAGACCGACTAATGTTATACCACCATGAAAAACCTGAAAGCACTGAACAGCTGTTTCGTCCTAACATGAGACTCCACAACAGTGCGCATTCACGATCCTGCACATGGCACTCGAGCGTAGAACCTTCGATATAGAATACAAAAGCCTAAACTCTAAACCACTGGACCAACATACAACATTGTTGATGTCTAACTTAAACCAATATATAACATTGCGCGTCCGTCTCCCATTGTCTTCAGTGGGTAACTGCCTCAGTCCCCACAGGGTTGAACTCCATTGGTCATGCCATCTCCCTAGAGCTATGAGAATCACTTCCCAAAGCTAGTCATTAATGAGCACATGATATGTTTGTGATGTGCGTCCACGCTACATTCGAAGTACTAGTTCTCTCAAAATTTCAAGCATAACATACTGATGGTAATCAACTTTTAGGAACCTAGTTCAGCAGTTTTATCATAGTACTGACCATCAAAACGTCTTTCTTCATATTAAGTAAACCAGAGACTACCCATTACGACTTGGTCGATAGAAAACACTCAAAATGTAGACAAACCGCCGATGTATTTAGATAGATGATGCATGACCATCCAGAATGATATCTATTAATAACTGTCTACTTTAGTAGGTCAATGAAATGTAAATACTTATATACGCATACATACTGCAGAAATCGGAATAAAATAGGCCACACGATCGGTGTGAGAAAAACTATGTGTTTTCTTGCTTAAAGAATCAGGTGGTTTATAGACTTTCAATATGTGAGTTTCTCTTATATCTAGAGCTTTGATTCTTGCTATGCCGCGTACTAGTGTGGTGTGGTCTACTTATATCTAAATAAGTAGTATATGGTGTGGGTCAGACATAGAATGTATTTTGTCAAAAGACCAATGAGGAAAGAACTGAAATGAAGCGCAATCGTCTGGTAAATGCATGAGCAATGGAATAAGAGAAGAAACAGTGAAGATTGAAACAATTGGCTGTTAATTTGCAAATTGACTGTTCATTGTTTGGTAATCAGAATTTACTGAGATAGTCTGTAATCTTTGCTTAAATACATTCGATTGTCCCCAACCAGTGTTTTGTTCACTACACTAGAACTACCCGCAACGTCGCAAGAAAGAAGACTAGTAAGTAGGAATTTTATTACCCAAACAGTGTCAAATATAGTGTGAAAATCTTATATATTTATAGTTTCTGGCTGAAAGTAAATCAACATTCCGGACAACCAATAAGCACATAGGGAGTCCTTCTTATTCGTCCAATAGGGAAGCTACACGTCGACATTCTAGAATGTTCCCTTAGTGGTTATTGGATGGAAAGTCTTCGGCTCTTTCTGGACTTCTTGAGGCTTCATTCAGTTTGCCAACGAGCCATCCTTACAGCTTCTAATCACCAGGCCTCTATATTTTTCGAGTTCGTGGTTGATAGGAATAGACAGATGTTTTGACGGACGGTCATCGTCATTTACTCGTTGAAATGTGAACAAAACGTGTCTTTACTTTGATTTAGTCAACCTATTTGGGGGCTAAAATTATTTGATATAATGATGTCGGATAGATACTTTCAAAACCTATTTCTTACTTCTTCTTCTGTGCTTCAATCAGTAAAAAAATAAGTAGAGACAACGATGTGATGACAAGAGGTTATTATTGACAACACTGAAAACTTCTATTGATACATAGAAATTTAATTTTTTTTATAAGTGTCAAACACGTGTCGTACGATGTTTATTTAACACGTCTTTTTACTCAAATGTTTTGACCTCATAGATTAAAATAAATGTAAAATAGTTGTAGCAGGGTGAATACTAGAGATTGTAACCTACGAAACTATTTTATAGACTATTATATATATTTTCATTGTATAATTGATAAATAACTGGATCACTATTTATAAATCCTGTTTCTTGTAAACGTTTTTAATCCATTAGCTATTATTATACCTCGTATTATTTCTAATTACATAAAACTATAACATAGCCGGCAAGAGTATAGAATATTCGTAGGCTACTAGTATTCAATCATAGGTGTCTTCGAAGCATTGCTCATATATACTGGAACCACCGGGTAAGTAATGCAGATGTTTGGAAACGGGTAATAGGTAAGGACGACAAATCGATTGATGAAGTAGTGTAACTCGTGCGAGTCTTAAGACCAATAAAAGTGGGGTTTGTGTTAGCTCGAGATTGTGGTCAGCTCGTATCATTGGTCAAGGTTAGAGACGATAGGTCTGTCTGTTTCTCTCTCGATATATATATATATATATATATATATATATATATACTAAACTGTTATAAATGTAAAGATGCTGCTTCACCGGGCGGCCTGCTTAAACATCTGGGCTACCTGTTTCCCGTCATCTATATATTTCAACAAGTTATCTAATATTGTTTGTTTTAATACATCATTATGGCTATTAAGCACACAACCTATTCTCGTGCGTTTCTGAAAACTGTACAACCTTTCGCTGTAAAAGTTACAAAAATCCTAATCAGAGATGTCGTGTTTGCTGGGAACACGCAGCAAAAAGAATATACATTATTCATATGTCGATCGACTGAACTGCTGACATCCAACTGGCGATCACTGAATGTTTATCATCAGGAGCAACGAAGAAATAAGAAACGTAAACATGTTGAAATACTTTATGCTGAGAATTCGATTTCGTACCAAATAATATAATATTGAATAAAGCTAATAATAATAATAATAATAATAATAATTATTATTATTATTATTATTATTATGACGCTGGGGCTTTCTTGTTATAACAGTCCTTTCACTTTCTACACGTATGTGGGACGTTAATTTACCTTAGACGAATATCTACACTAGATTTCCTATTCAGTGTCTATCCTACAGGACTTCAACAGAACTCAGATCAAGAACACGAGGTTAGCCTGATTATAACGTCAATATATTTCCACACCAAAATCCGACACAAGGAACAGTTAATCAATAAGCGTCCATACATAATAAGGATATGGGAATATATATAACACATGAACACCTGTCATTCTATTTAATGTCTGACTCATCAACACAACCAATCATTGTCATTCTCGCCCACACATCATAAACAGAACATGCGGAGCCGAATAATCCTATGAACGGGATTCAGATAGACGAACTTACAAAGTGATGTTCATTGATATCCCTCAGATGTAACAAATATATGGTTAAATTTTCATTTTAACATTATTTACTGGCTAATAATGTTATGATTCATTTAGTCAAGATGTTTTGAAATGATTTCTTCATCTATGGAAATTACCGAAGATAGTTTCACTAAAGAAACAAACGCATTTCACTTGTTCACATTAATTAGTGACTGACATAATTTCTATGAATTGAAGTAAATGAACAACCATATCTGATTTTGATTTCAAAACGTTACATATAATGAAAAGCTAATGAGAATCTATTGGAATGAAATTAGTTTATTTTAATCTATACAAGGAAGTATGTATGCCCCCAAATGCCCTGGTACAGCCGAGAGTGGGGAGATTCTACTCTCCCTCTAGAAATGCTCTCACATGGCCAGCGAATATATAGCCTCTGGCAGGGAAGTCCTACTCACTGCCTTCTCGTGCCAAAGGTGTTGTTCACAAAAGTGAGACGACGAAAAGCGAATGTCTGGCGCTTTAACCGGGTTGGTGGACACGGAGGGTCCACCTAGGGGAGTTGGAAAACCCTGATTCCAAACCAATGATACACATGGGCTCCAGTATCCTGATGGAACGAATGGTGGACGAACCTGTCATTGGTCAACGGCTACCATGGGACTGCGTCTCCTCACAATGCTCCACTGCCTTGTGGATCAGACCTTTTGGTCAAAGGCTCGGGGTGTGGTCCCCTAAGAAAACCACCTGCTTCGGTTTGGGCACCCGGGCAGTATCACAGCCCACACACACAAATAGTGTGGCGCATATGTACCTGGTGCCCTTTTGTACCAATATATATGTGTTTAAATAAATAATAAATAAAAAGTACGTACATGAATTTAGATTTTGTTTTGAATAGAAATTTGTTGAAATTATTCATAATTTTTTTTTCTTTGATCAATCAATGTTTTCTAGAAACTCATCAGAATAAGTTCATCTTGATTGACAGCCTTAAAATCACTGTTAATATTCTGAATACTCTCATTATGTACACATAATCTATCCATTGAATTAGAATTTCTTTTAAATTTCCCACGTGTTTAACATTTAAGCATTAAGAGTTGAATATTTTGGAACGCTGTAGAATGTAGTACTTAAACGGTTCAGTTTACGAGTCAGAAGAATTACAAATTACTTTTTTTTGAATATTGCTAGTAGTGCAGTGTGGTCTACTTATATCCATATAAGTAGTATATGGTGATGGTAAGGCATAGAATGTATTTTTAAAGAAGACCGATAAGAGAAGAATAAGAACGAAGTGCAATCAGTATGGAAATGCATGAACAATGAGATCACAGAAGATGAACTGATATTTACAGAAGAAACAATCAAGATAGAGACAATTGATTGTTAGGGTAACATGGTGGTTGGAGGTGGTCAACAGGAAACCCTGGACCCAGGTTTCGTGCTACTTGGCACTCGTCAGCAAGGTGTACCTGTAATCTTGAGGGAACTGATGCTCCCTGGCGGATTCGATCCCGCGTCACTCAGCTTCACAGTCAGAGACGTTACCACTGAGCTATTCGGGCCGCGACCGACCTCCTGTAGGACTGAGATCTAATCACAAATGATTGATCACTGGGTGGTGATCAATCTCATGCGTGTCAGGTCCTTGCCTTGATCGATAGCATTCGATCAGCACTAAGGACCTGACACGCATGAGATTGATCACCACCCAGTGATCAATCAATTGTGACAATTGATTGTTATTTTACAAATTAACTCTTTACTGTATGGTTATCAGATGTTAATGAGATAGTCTGTAATTTTCATGTCATATATATTCGATTGTCCCTATCCGTGTTCTTGCTCACTACAGTAGTGTTTAACCACGTTCGACACTTTATGCTGTAGGGATAATTCATTATTTCTTTTTCTTTTCTGCTAATATTTACTTGTTTATTTAAACGGAATATAACGACTGGCATAAAGATCATCACCGTCATCAACATCAACATCATATTACAATAACAAAATACATGAACAATTACTTCACAATATATATATTTAATCCATACTTCGGTTGGATTTTACAACGGATTTATCAAGTGACTGAATGATGGATTCACATATGCACAATCCGGAGATTGTTTCAAGCACATCAAAAAAGAGATATGTACATTCTCATAGAAAGATTTTATTTATATACAATGATTTACTTGTATTGAATAAACGTGTTTACATCATATATCGTTGATCTGAATGAGGAAATTTTCAAAGGAGTAACAATATGAGTAATATATAAATGGAGAAAACAGTAAACAAAGTATACGTAAATTTCAAGTATTTAATCATACCTTTGAAGTATATGCAGAGTTGTGTCAAGAATAATCTTAATTGATATATATTATAAATGGTGGCGAGACTATAATTTATGAACGAGGCAATCAGAAGAGTTTGAGGGATTTCAAGGTCACAGTGCCAATTTCAGTATCTGATGCTGATGTACGATCGGTTCACATAGAATTTTAGAGAAGACTTGATAATTAAGCGGCAACAACAAATGAAACTACTAAGAAGTTGCTGTATTTGTAATTACGAGTATTAAATTACTTGTAAACCTTGTGCAGACTACCGTGATGTTGTCCTTCGATGTAATATATGTTGGAGGAAGACGTTTGCTAGGATAGGAAACTTTATCGCCCGATCCAGATTGAGACTAAGGCATATTATAATAATTACCGCCAACTGTATAATAAAAACACCAGTAACACTGGCTGCAAAAAACGCAGATGCTACTGAAGCTTCGGCTGTTCAGTGGTATGAGTATTGTAGGGACTTATCCATAATAAAAAATGATAAACCTACACAACCGGAGTACACACAAACAATAATGAAACTATGTGGTGGAGTTTGAGAGGGTTTTTGTGACCTTATCATGGGTCCAGAGACCACCTATCATGGAGCCATATGGATGAGTTCTACTACCTTATGCATTACGATTTTGGAAACTCTGAAACTCTTTCTAACCTTGACAAGTTTTTGGACCATATAAGTTTATCCACTTTAATTATTTGGTTTTGTATAATATATTTTTACCCTATGCTGACTGTTTACTGGTTGGCTAACATTTCTCAAGGTCACTTAAGACTCGTTCAAAGGTCATCCATAAATTATAATCTCGCCAAAATGGTAAGTTATCGATGTAGGTGACCGAGATATGTTACTTATTTCTAAACATAGCTTACTTCCATGTATGATGGTGGGTCGCACAAAATTGGGCTGGAAAAAGTTACGGATGACCAAACAAGACAGCTTTAGTCCAAGAAGCTTATGAATTTCTAAATGAACTAATCCGATACGTGTACACTACTTTATAAGGGTCCATCAGATAGTAGTCATTCAAAGTAAGAAATGAAACATAGAACAGATAGATAAATGAAAGTTAAATATATAGGCAAAATTCATCATAGATGCATAAAAAAACTGCCCTAAACCAAATTATGGAAAATGGATCTAATGTTACTTCGTCAAGCAGACTTGTAAAAGCACTTATAAACGTATATATGTACACAGAAAACAGTTTATAATTACTAATAAGACTGAGTACAAAATAACTAATTATATTTCTATTATAATTTTGACAGTGAAGCATTTGTTTTATACTTAATTTCGTAAACATCATCCCCGCCACGAGAAGGCAGTGAGTAGGAATTCCGTGGGAGTGTATGTATGTGCGTGGTCATATGAGAGCATTTCGAGAGGGAGATCGGACTCTCCCCACTCTTGGCCGTACCAGGACATTTGGGGGCTTTCATTCCTTAACTTCATTTTTTCCTTATAAGCTAATATTTCCCATGTTTAGTTTCTTGTTACATGTGATATTACTACTTATTTTGACGATCTGTTAGAGTAAGATGCGGGAAATCGGATCAATGCATATTTGTGTCAGATTCTACTTTATATTTGACTGACAAAGTGAATAGATTTATACTCTGATATCGTCATTAATTCCTTTCAAACATATAATACACTTCTTGACTGATAGATTCATACAGATGACTAGGAGTTGTCATTCAGTAATCAATTCATGAATGATAATAAGAATTTTTAGGACTAAACGAACTACTGAAGAAATAAATATCCATTAACATAACCCAAACGAGTACAATTATCATTAGGTTATACTCAGTGTTACTATAATTCGAAATCAGTATACTCACATCGATTAAAAAAATGATTAGGCATCGCAAATCGGTCACTTTATAAGATACATAATCTATCTAAATCACAAATCGACGCTCCTAACTGTTGACCAACACAACTGTGCACAGATGAGGTTAGACGTATTCGGACGTTTCATTCGCTGAATACTTGTGCTTAAAAATGTAAGTACTTATATCTTACAGAAATATTAGCTTGGTACATCACTTGTTTACAGACTAGTTACACTAACACGAACTTCAAATTACATTGAGTGCAATAGGATTTTAGTAGTCAATAAAGTCTATAAAGAAATATTACATTAGAACACTATATCTTATACTTTATGACAACGAATGATCTTAATTAGACAATCGCTGAAGACCAGAAAGGAATTGCCAGGTGTTTTGGACTAGTATGTGACTTCTCAGCAATGATCATCCACAATTTCGCTATGAAAATATAAGTGATTTTCTTATTCCAACATTCAAAGGAGTGTAGATATGTGCTCAATAAATCTGAGAACTGAAAGAAAATCGGTCTGGCAGTTGTAAATCAATCCTTCACGAATACAAAACAACTGTACCATTAGTAAACTGGAAATCGAATAAAATAGTCAATAGATGAAGTTCTATAATGTCATAGTATACACATTGAACAAAAAGAGAATTTAATCACCTTGTCTAAGAAACTGAAGTATTGACATCATGGGTTGAATTATTTTGATGATTGTCCAACTCCATCGGTTCATTAAAAGTGTCAATAGGAATTAAATGTTCATCAGTCACCTCAGAAATGTAATTTAAAATTGCCAATTGTTCTTCTAATCTACATATACGTTGATAATGACGAGCTATAGTTTAACAAATAAAAACACGGAAAGTTACTGCTCTAAATTTATTACATTACTGAAGAACAATAAAGTAGTATGTAAGGATATATCTAAAAATAAAGTTGAATAGTATGTGGATTACATGGGATTAAAAACAAGACCGAATAAGGATCGCAGTGTACGTCTATCGTATTATTAAAAAAAGCTTCATACTTTGTATATATACATAAACTGTCTTTATATTTTCAAATTGAAAGTTAACTGTCTTACAATTTATACGCTACCACTATGATAGCATGAGAGAAAATCGTGTTCAGATCATCTGTTTGGTGATGCAATACATAGTTATTGCAAAAAGAATATGGACTTTAGGTACCTGAACTAAACATAAACTCATTACAAAATATCTTTAATAATGATTATAAACCGCATTCGAGAGCAGAAAATTATTACGAAGATGGAGGGCAAAATCCGACTCACACGTCCTTGTCGTGCCTCCTGGATAATTGAGACTGTTTTCATGAACTAACGTGAGCGGTTAATCGTATGTGGTGAAGATCGGCCTAATCGACCACTCTACTAATACCCCCAAAAAAACGAATACGAATGCTACAAAGAGTCATTGCATAACTATTGAGGGTTCAAAAGAGTGGTAAAATAAAAATGAGTTTGCCCAAATAAAAGCAAAAACAAAAGGACAAAAAAAAGGGTTCTGTGTGAGTGTTATGTAATGGTTCTGCGTAAGCAGTGCAGAAACAGCTATCCCACCTCGGTAGTTGTGCCGTGCTTCGGTGTAGAACTCTTCTTCAGAAGGGCCTACTAGGCTTCACCATTCTATATGGCTGGAAGGGGTGCGAAAGTGTTAAGTATGAGGTCATGTAAATAACCCATTGTATTTTTTGTCTGTATAACACACACCATGGATATGAAATTTTACTGTGTAACATATCATTTAACGAAATTTAGAGTGAACTTTGTTAATCAATAATGACGAATGTAAATTTGTATATAAACGAGTTCATTCTTTGATATTTAGGTATGTATGCAATGAATTTTTTTCTTTTTTTTCTGTTGCAGTGTTTACCTTCTTCATAGTGCCGAACAATAATTCCACTTAATTCACAGTTTTAGTGCCAATCTGTAGCTTAGTCATATTATAGTTTCGTTTCCAGTTATATTAAGTTCAAGAGATATTTCTTGGAGTTCTAGTGAGAAGCACTGATCAGTGGAGTTCAACCACGTCTGTTGTGAGATATCAACTCACTGAAGACAATTAGTGAACGGTTGCTCAACCTTGTATATTAGTTGAAGTTAGACATTAACACCATCGGATGCCGGCTCAGTGGTCTAGTGGTTAAGTGCTCGGGCGCGAGACTGGTTGGTCCTAAGTTCGCCTCTCGCGAGGCGGGATCGTGGATGAGCACTATTGAGGAATCCCACAATAGGACGAGTTGTCCGTCCAGTGATTCTAAGGTTTCCATTGTGGTCTGGTTTCAGTTGACTCATTAGTTCTATTTTTAAGTCTCTAGTTTAATCAAAATAACCCATTGTGTCATTGAAACAAAATAAAGAGAATCGAATAAAAAGAGAAGTTTCTTTCCGACAAAATCATTTATTTAAGCCGTACATTCGTATTTATATATGCTAAATATATATCTATAGAAGGATAGAAAAGATTACATCATAAAGTGATTCGAGACTCCTAAAATCAAATGTGGTTGCATAATACTCAGGGGGTTAGAGAAGAATAGAAGAATGAAAATAATTTACGGGGTAGAATTATGAAAGTAAATGCCCCCAAATGCTTTGATACGGCCGAGAGTGGGGAGAGTCCGCTCTCCCTCTCCAAATGTTCTCACATGGTCACGCGAATATATAGCCTCTGTCAGGGAATTCCTACTCACTGCCTTCTCGTCTCATTACTGTTGTTTACGAAATTGAGAGGACGAAAAGCGAATGTCCACAACTTTAACCAGGTTGGTGGACACGAAAAGTCCACATAGGGGAGTTGGAAAACCCTGATTCCAAACCAATGGTGAACATGGGTTCCAGTATCCTGAAGGAACAAATGGCGTATGAATCAATTGTTGGTCACCAGCTACCATGGGACTGCATCTCCTCACGATGCTTCACTGCCTTATGGACTAGACCTTTAGGTCAAAGGCTCCGGGTGTGGCCCCGTAAGAAAACCATCTGCTTCCGTTTGGGCATCTGAGCAGTATCAAAGCCCTCACACAAATCGAATGAGATTTGTGCAGCGCATATGTATTTGGTGCTTCCTTGTACCAATATTTATGTGTTGAAATAAAAAAATGAAAGAAAATTGTCTGCTTGACAGATATGAACAAAAGTAAAAAATATAAAAGTTATAATAATAATGGTAGTCTACCTTAGATTGACTCATGAATTCAACTGTGAAAATACTACAACCTCCATAAATCCCCTTACTGATAATAATGACGTCCTTACTAAAGGTGTAATTAGTGAATGATGTCTGATATATTTCCCATAGAAGAAAACTGACAAAAATGTGAATCCGCAAAAACTGCGTAGAAAATGATAAAATCATCATTATTCATTTTGCAAAGAACTGTTCAAGAACCTACATGTATTTAACATCAGGAATATGTTTATTCTCCTCTTGTTATTACAAACAAAAGACACTATAAAAACAATCACATAACATACCCTTACACAGTTAACTGTCAATATCTCAGGAATTATTGTTCATTTGTATACGCCGTCCAAACAAACAGTAGATGACGCATTGTTTATAATGTAGAGTCAAACTACAATTTGTATAAAAACAGAACTTACTTGTATATGGAAGGAGATATTGTATCGCTTGATTGAAATTTGGCCATTCAATTAATTCTTCTGGTGTCCAACGTGTTAGTATCCAATTCAATACGAATTGACTTATCATTGATGTTCTAGTTCTTGTATTCCAATTGATAGCATAAGATAAAAGTCTTTGACTTAGACTAAGTGAATCATTAAGATTTTCATTGTGACTTTTCTTTACAAAATCATCAAGTACTGATAATAAGTTTCCAGCTTGTGTAGGATATTTCATATTTTGATTATTTTTGCAAGTCTCTTTGACAAGATCTTGAGTCAAAAGTTCTACAAATATATTGTGACAAAAAAAAGTTATATTCTCGGTTCAGTCAATCAGTGACAACGTAGAACTTCGTACGTACGTACATCAGTTCGAGTTGCCATACCACATTAGCACAGAGATACAGATGTCGATTCAAATCCCATAGTGGTAGAAGTAGTAAGAGTATAAGCATTATGTGAAAGATTAGGGTTTGAAGATGTTATATTCTCGGTTACAAATCTTCAATCACAAACCTAGTAGAAATTACTAAAAAACGAAAGAACTTCGAACTATAGTGATTCCAGGAGTTTGAAAATCCCCATAGAATATTAAAAAATAAAGACAATTTAGGCTTTACAGTTATAAGTCCATAATTATTGTGATATTTTACAAAGGCCAAAATAAAGCGTGTATTAATGAACTTGACAATGTTATATGTTAAAATTGGTAGAGTAGCCGTAATCTAGGTCGATGTGGAAGATTCTTTGGAACTTCATATAAAACAGAGAAAGCTTCCTCTATTTTGATATGATGTACACTATCTACCAAGGGAGAAAGGATAGTTTTGTTGATCGATTTAGTGACCCCTTTTCTCAACCATGCTGGTACATGTTGACGAACACGCAAGGATAAAGCCCTCTGAGTACGGCCTATGTAATTAGCTCCACAGGAGCAGTTGAATTGGTATACACACATGGAGGAGCCCATCTTCGTTAACCTATACTTGATTAGTTGTGTGAGTACTGGTTTAATTGAGAAGTTATACGTAGCTTGGCGGAGTGAAACGTCCTTTCAACAGATATTTTCAGTCGACGTGTAAAAATATCACCCGCTACGTCCCATTTAAAGTGCAGTTTCAGAAATACGGTTTTTTTACTCACTGAATAACAATTTCTTCTTTTTTTATTAATACTTTCTGCTAGAAACTTTTTAACGAAATTATCTTGATAGCCATTATTTCGTAATGTGTTCTTTAGTATATCTATTTCACCATCGACACCGTCCTCAGAACATAATAGCTTGATTCTGTGGCTGAGAAATTTAACCAAATTAATTTTATATTGAAGATGTGTGAAGCTTTGGAAATGGGTATACTAACCCGTCCATGTATTCTTTCTAAATATATTTCGTTTTATGGAACCATCTATCCTTCTAGAAAGTAGGACATCAAAGAAAGCTATACTAATGCCTTTCTCCTCCTCACTCGTGAATTTAATAGCTGGATAGATTTTATTGAAAAAGTCCAACATCTTTTGTTTGTTGATATTTTCGTCACATACGAAGAATGATAGTTTACTCGATATTTAAAGGAACATAGAAAGTGAATATAACAATATTGTTGTGATGAATTTTGGGCTATTAGCCATTGTCTTCAACCATTGGTTACACGTATTTTGTGAATCCCAAACAGGAAGTCAAAGCCATTCAACATGGCTTTTTAAGCGTTAATTATCATATATAATAGAATCGATTAAATTTAACAATATGTGGAGGCACACAAGTAGCAAATGTCCGTATTATTTATTTTTATGAATATTTGAAGTAATGAAAGAGTTTAAACTGTTAAGGGAGTGATTTGATATTGTTGAATCACACCATTCCACTGATCAATGAGTATTCAAATATTAACGAAAAGGTCAGTCAGTGAGTAAGATATAATCAGTGTTGAGCCTGGTACTGTGGTGGACCCTACTCACAAGTATGCAGTACGTAGAGAAACGTGGAGTGGAAGTTGCAACAGTAATCAGACGGAGAGAAGAGTTTCAGTAGAGCAAAAGCACGGCGTAGGCAGAACACTTAGAAACTATTCAGATTGCCAAACGTACCGAATATGCAAATGGATGATTGAAGGTTATATATATGCATTATGCAAACACTTTGCAACTTCCCACAATAAATATAAATTCCTTCTGCATATTGCCTTCTTTTAAAGTACGACTGTGCATTAACACAATGTTGTCATGTTAAATCAACAAAACAAAATTAAATTGAATAGTTGAAAGCGTGAGTCAATTGAAGACAGACCACCATGGAAAACCTGGAAGCACTGGACAGCCGTTTCGCCCCATTATGGGACTCCTCAGCAGTGCGCATCCACCATCCCGCACTACGCGAGATTCGAACACAGGACATACCAGTCTCGAGCCGGAGCCCTTAACCGATAGACCACTGAGCCGGCATCCAACGGTGTTAATGTCTAACTTCAACTGACCCACGAAGTTGAGCAACCGTTCACCAATTGTCTTCAGTGAGTTGATATCTCACGACAGACGTGGTTTGTATAGAAGGAAACTGTTCAATTAAAACTGTTTTCTATAAATATTCATAAAAATGAAAACTTGCCTTGTAGTATGTCTAGTGTTCGCTTGGGCTGATCCAATTTGACAGCCAAATGAACAGCATCGGCATACATTTGTTTGTGTACAAGATTATCTAATTCTTGTTGTCTATAAAATCAATATCGAGTAGAAATAAACTAAAGCACACAATCATAATAACTCAGTAGTTCAGTAGATAACCTGTCAGTGTTTAAGGCAATAGGTACTGGGTTCGAATCTCACAGTGAAAATATACACTATGATGCAGGTGCGCTTAGCTCAGACTGAGGTATTATCAGATGAGATTTACCTTCTAAGACAAAAAGTGTATGAAGTAATATCTGTATATGAACTTCAGATATTGAGACAAAACACAAAACTATAACTTTCAGCGACAAAATACTTTAAACCTCCGCACTAACTAAACTTTACCCTATAAATTAATAAATGTTGAAAACACTAAGAAACGCATGGTTGCCTACAGCAGGAAGGGATATAGGTTTTGTTAGAATAACAGTACAAACTAAGTTAGTTTTTTGAGCATAACCTAGTAGGCTACAGAATATCTCACAGTTGTACGGTAAATGAGATGAAAGCATCAGACAGATATTGGGAAAATAAGTAAATTATATACTTAGTCAACGTTATCATCTACAAGCTATGTCAACACGTTCACCTCGAAATAGGCATGAATCTATTTGGCTTTTAGTCATAAAAATTCCGACCCTTGCCTTTGACTTTATTCTCTGAATACTTGAGTCGATCAAGCGTTACTAGAGAACATGAGAAGTAAATAAGACTGAAAACCATACAATGAAAGTTGATAAGTGGTATTCATTGCAATTTTTGAGCCCACAGTGAGAACCGTAGTTTGTGTTCTAGATGGATAATCCAGTGGTCGGAAAATATTTGTCTTGGATAGCACTCGGTTTTATAACATTTGTTTATTATGCCTTCACTCACTGTCCAGAATGAACCACTAAAACTAATCAATAAATCATATAACCAAATAGTCATAACCCTGCTGCAAGAAACTGCGAAAACAAGGTCGTCCTTCGTACAGCAACACCTGGTGATGTAACTCATTTGTAAAGTACGGATCTGTGTACTGAGCTTTGAGTCATACTTTATGAGTGAATGTTGATGATACTACCCCCGACTACTCAAACCAAAGTAGTTGGGGCGGATCAGAAACTCATAACCTGGTAGTTGAAAATCGAACAACTTTGCCACTGAAACCACAGATTCAAAAATAACAAAATTATCCGAACATTTAATAAAAGTTTGGATGGTGTATGGGATAGTCTATATATCCACTGATACCACCAATACATTAGTATAACTTCAAAAATGTTGAATGTGTAATAAATAATACTGATTAGTCCCGCTTCATATTTGTGAAGCATGATTTATTTTAATTAACGATATCCTATAACTAGTTTCCTTTTTAAGAAACCAGAGTGACTAATCAAGGACAACGGTAAGTCAATCACTGAGATTCAAGAACAGAGGAACAGGTGAATTGAACACATTGAAGAACTCTTGAATAAATCAGCTCCACTAAACCCATCGGACATCAAAGCATTGCACATAGACCTTCCTAAAACTGTTACCCCACCTACCATAGAACAAATCAAAATGGCCATCAGACAAAATCAAGAGTGGGATGCAGAAGAACCTGACAATATACCACTTAAAGCTCTTAATTTAGATATAGAAGTAAGAGCAAATATATTCCACGCTCTATACAAAAAAGTGTGGGAGGAAGAACAGGTGCCGACAGACTAGTGTAAATAGGAGAACCTTATGAAATGTTCTTCGAAACTATGGTGTGCGTAAGATCGTCAACATCATACGGAATTCATACGATAGATATTGCGAGGTTGTGTGTGGAGGACAGTTGATAGATGCATTCCAACTGAAGACCGGCGCCATGATAGCCTGCTTACTATCCCCTATTCCCTTTCTTATGGTGGTTGATTGGATTATGAAGACCTTGACAACGGAGAAGTACGGAATACATGCAACTAAACGATTTGAACTTCGCACATGGCCTAGCTCTTCTATCTCATACACATGGACAAATGCAGGTCAAAATAAATCAGCCTTTAAGTGGTTTAGACAAGTATTATTTACTAGGTGATAAACAATAGCATAGCACGAATTATGATCACTCTAAAATTCACCACTAAAATCCTCAAAAATGTATTTATATATTTATAACACAGATAGACTTACGTTTGAATATATTCCTCTTGCTGTTGTGATGTCTCATTCAGCAATATCTCTGTAATATCCTTAAAAAAAAGTGAATACATTATTTCTAGACAGTGAATCTTTATACGCAAAATAGACAAGAATAAATATATTCACATAAGTAGTTTATTTAACTCGAGATTCCTAAGTGAAGTGGTAGCTTAGTGGTTAAAGTGTTCGAATTTTAGCCACTAATCTTCAGGTTCGAATTGAGCTTCTCCGACTTTAGTTTAGGTAACCGAGTGGTATAAAAAGTATAAGACAAAAGAGGAAAACTCATTCACCAGTTACTTGTGTATGAACCACATTCTAAGCTGATGATATTATCGTATACGACGTCTCTTTAAGACCATCCTAAGCACATATGTGCTAGTAACCTTATGAATAGTGGCTATCATTGAAATCCAGGACTTGTATTTCGCCTTATTTGAGACTCATGAAACTTGTAACTAAGTGACAATATTGAGACAATCCGCTACATTGCATATATACTAATAGAGACTAATCAATTGCAGTCCTTAACACTAACAGAGGAAAAATAAAAAGCTTTTACAAACTCATTATTGATGCTTTAGTTAGTCAAACTAATTTTCATCACAAGCAATTCACTATTCTAAATTGTTATGTCCCAATAAGAATTATGGATGGTAACTTTTGAGAACTACTTACGGACCAATATGATACATATATTCTTATTCTATAATTGTTAACAAACTAAACTATTCATATTCGTGTCTCTCTTACTATAGGCTTTATTTTGACCTATTAACTATTATTATATGGGACTCCTCAGAAGTGAGCATCCACGAACCCGCTCTCGCGAGATTCGAACCCAGGACCTACCAGTCTCGAGCAGAAGCCCTTAACCGATAGACCACCGAGACTGATAAGTCCTGGGTTCGAATCTCGCGAGAGCGGGTTCGTGGATGCGCACTGCTGAGGAGTCCCACAATAGGACGAAACGGCCGTACAGTGTTTTCAGGTTTTCTATGGTGGTCTAGCTTCAATTGACTCATGCTTTCAACTATGAAAAATACTAAATCTCCACAAAACCCCTTCTGATAATTAATATTATTATATGATTTACCATTCTTGACTTATGCCCAGTCTATTAATTACTGCCTCCCACATTCACAGCCACTTTTGGCTGAATCATGTACAAATGTTGTTTTCCTATTTATGGTACTATGTGGTTTGTCTGCTTGGTATAAAAACCCAGTATGCTTGAAATAAATGATTCATACCGCATAGGCTGAGATTAGTGTTTTGGACTTAACTGACTGGACTAGGCAGAAAGCAGGACCGACAAGTACTCTAGACTGTTCGTACGGGTTTCGTGTGTCATTGGTCCGAACGATAATTTACTGTTCTCTAATTGGCGCTATTATCACGTTACAAATTAACAGGGCATTCAGGCGATCACAAGTTATAACATAAATATACAAACTAGAAATAGAAAACACCAAGAAACTCTACTGCATTTTTATTTCGGTTTGTTGTTGATCAGTCTGTCAATTATAAGCTACGTAGGATCTGATACAAATGTGCATCAGCTTAAGTTATCAGATTTCATGTTAAAACACCTAGGAAAGTAAACTGAAAATGAGTGAATCAAAAAAGCCGAAATAATTATGATATTGGGAAAGGTCAGCTACAACGTAGGACCAGGCACATATATGCATCGGTCCAAGTTGCCATACCTCGTTAGCACAACAAGAGGAACACCGGATTCATAGAAGTAATTAATTTACTGGTGGTAGTAGTATATAAATTATAGGTTGTATATAAGGATATAGTACAGGAAGGAAGAGAGATATGAAGCAATTTTAGTCTCAAGGTTTAAGGGAAGATAAAGAGTGTATACACCTACGCCATTGTGACCGATTCTGAGCCATGTCACCTAGAGTCTCCAACCATTGGTTACGATAGTCACGCGGACCCCAACCAGGTAGTCTGCATCTGCCAACATGGCTCAGGCTAGAAGTTAGTGACTTCAAACACTGATGCCATGTTTTGGTTTGGCCGCCCCTAACTCTCTTCCAACCGTCCCCAATACTAGTCATCATAGCGCGTCGTGGTAATCGGTGTTCAGGCATACGTAACACATGGCCCAACCATCTCAGTCGATGAAGATTCATCACCTCATCAACTGATTTACCATCGTTCCCTAATACCCTGCGTCTAACCTCACTATTACTTACCCGGTTATCCCAGCAGATGCGAGCAATATTTCTAAGGCATCTGTGGTCAAATACTAGTAACCTACGAGTATCTTCTACTCTTAATGGCCATGTTTCACAGCCGTAAAGTAGGACAGAGCGAACTGCTGCGCAGTATACTCGTCCCTTAATTGATAGACGGATATCTCGTCTACGCCATAGGTGACGTAAGTTGGCAAAAGCCAAACGAGCTTTTTGAATCCGTGCTGAGATTTCGTCTGACACCAACCCATTATTGGGAAAACCAAAAAACTAAACGAGAACTGAAGTAGAATACTAGATATCTTCGAAATCAAACTTCCAGAAACTGTGAAGGCAGTCCCTGTGTTGACCAAGAATGATACCACTTCTTTATTGTTTAGATGGTGGATGAATCGAAAACCCAAATCTGTCAATCTGTCCCATTCTTATTCAATTAGCGCTAGAGGATAAATGGAGAAGACTACAGAATCTTCATGCGTAAAATTATACATATACTAATGTCCTTCCTACTGTAATCCACTTCCATCCAACTTGGTTTATTTGGAATATAACTACATACCCGTCCAAGCAGACTTCTGATTTTGGGGACTAGTCGACTGAGATAGTGTCCGAAGAATGTCTGGGTAGGATTACAAAAGGGATTACACCAGGGCTAGTATCAACAGTATACCTCCAAGTTGAGTATAGAAAACCAGTAGTTGATGAATAAATTAGCATTTCCATCTTTTCACTTATAGAATATTGAATAATTTTCCGAAAGCTAATTGCTTAACTAAATTTTCAGCCTATATCTTCAACTCCTTAATGTAGCCCATTTATCACGTACAGCTTAGCGTACTCAGCTTTGAGCCATATTTTATGTATGATTTTATTTTTTATTTATTTAAACACATACATATTGGCACCAGGTATATATGCGCCACACAAAATAATGGAAATAGGAAGAGAAAGGATAAAAAGATAAGTGGGACTGAAAAGTACAACCGGAAGACTCTTTCAGTTAAGAAAGTTAGAACCACTCTTTATGGAGAAAGTAAAAGAAGGTTACAGCAGGATCGCCACTGGCTTCTATTCTTAGCCATATCTGATAACGTCTCTAGCCACTGTGTTGCACCATCTCTCCGACCCCAGCCAGGAAGTCGTGAATGACCAACAGAAGCTAACCCTTTGCAACTTTCTTTCGTGTCATACACTGACCATCTCTCCGCTTTTTCCAACCAGTCCCAGAGTCGGCAAATAATGCACGACGTGGAAGTCTCTGGGACGACATTCGTAGAACATGTCCAAGCCACCGAAGTCGGTGTTTCAAGATGGTGACACCAATTGAATTATCGTCTCTGCGCCCGAAATGTATGAAGGCTAATATAATACTATCCAACTCTCAGAACAGGAGTAAGTGAAGCGAGACTCGAACCTTTATTCTAATAGATTAAAAATTGAACGTCTTAATCAATAAATCACTAATCCATAGAGGCGTTGATAGAAAGAACAACACTGTCAGGTTTTCAATAGTGGTCTAACATTGATCAGTTCATGATCTCAAGTAAAAACTCAACAATTTCCACAATGTTACACTTTAAAAAAACGTTTGAAGTAATAAATGTTTATCACCTACTTCAAAATAACACAAAGTTTCATCTTCACCACCAGTGAAAAAACCAGATTCATCTGGGCAAATAGCTAATGACCATATTCTTCCATCGTGTGCTTCATAAACTAAAGATGAATTTTCTTCAGATGATGGTTTAACAATATTCTCTCCTTTATCCTGATTATTTTTAGGTGGCTTAGATATATTCCATAATCGTATTAATCCTTTCTGATCGCTTAAACACATTATTTTAAAAAAAAAACAAATTTTAGGAGTGTCATTTTTGAAATTCGACAGATGCATGTTAGAGATATTAAGGTATAGAAAATTATTAGATAAACATGTTACTTATATCTAGAAACTTGAATCTTCATTTATCTACTTTGTAAATTCCCCCATGGGAAACGTCTTTCATTTTTACTATGAAAGTAAAGACGTTATTTTAACATGACAAATATCTATCCAAATTTCGAGGTTTTTGCTCATAGAGTTTGTTGAGTTATGATTGAGATTATAAATTACGTATTTGCTTAAATCAATCATCTCTGGTTTCTAGCATGAAATTACCTTTTGGAGTAGCTGGATGGTATGAGGGAGGTTAGTGTTGTTTAGTGTAATAATATATATGGAGTACAAATGGAATATATCCCAAAAAATTGAATTGCAATTATTCAGTTGTTAAAACATGGTAGATTAGATGCATGATATAAAGACACACGTTTATATGTATATATGAGATATTGTTGGGATAATGTGAACACTTTCGACTTATTTGTTTATTTATTTGAACAGATAAAAATTGGTACAAGGGGCATCAAATACATATACGCCATACAATAAAAATAAAGAAATTGACTTGAATGAAGGCTGGTGGTCTTGTTAAGAGGTCACTCCCCGAGCCTTCGCACTAAAAGTCTAATCCACAAGGTAGTGAAGTAAAGTTACAAAATTCAATCGCATAGTAGCCGATGACCAACAACAGGTTCATAGGCCATTTTCTCCCTCAGGATCCTGGAGCTCATGTGTAATGATTTGTTTGGAATCTGGGTTTTCCTACTCCCCTATATGAACCCTTCATGTTCACCAACATCCGCTTTTCGTCCTCTCAATTTTGTAAACAACAATCCCATCGCGAGAAGTCAGTGAGTAAAACTTCCCTAGCAGTGGTTGTATACGCGTGGCCATGTGAGAGTATTTCGAGAGGGAGAGAGAATACTTACGGCTAGTCTATCTATCTATCCAATCGTGCAAACATGATCAAAGCGCATATGATAGAAAATTTCCTTAGATTACAAAATATATTAGCTACAATTAATGGACCAATTTCTTATCTTAATTACTTAATTTTTCATTTTACAACTTCTATAATATGTACAGAGAATGTAGGCAACAATATTATTATTTTTCCAACATGTTCCTCATTAACTTACCATGATAATATCTGTTTATCGTGAGAAAGAAAAACTGCTTTATACACTGGTTGATCATGGCCTTCCAATGTCTGAAATCAATGAAATTAACATGGTAATGACAAGAGAGTTTTAATTACGAACTGATAGCAGTGGAAAAACTATTGGAAACAACAAGTGATCCATTCACATCCATGAGTTTATCAGGAATACAACCCAGGAAATTCAAGAATCACAGGTAGCACATCAACTTTAGACTTTTAAGTAAGAATCCAAAGGTCTACATTTCACATTTAAGTTTACTAGTGGTGTGGCACGACTGTCATTAATGATGACAATATGTTTGGTGAACAACCCTGATCACAACTTCTAATTCTAAAGCTTCAGTAATCTATCTTCAAGTAATTCACTAACGGAACAATCTCCATAATTCACCCGAATAAAAAATGAATAAGTATGGATAAACAATTTCATTGTTTTCACAAGAGTATGACCATAACAAATAGTTGTCAAAATTAACAGCTGGTGAAAATAGAGTTAGTTATTCAATGCAATATATAGATACAGTAACATAAGATTTTAATAGTTGAGCTCATGAGTCAATTGAAGCTAAACCACCATGGAAAACCTGGAAGAACAGGACGGCCAACTCGTCCTATTGTGGGACTCCTCAGCAGTGTGCATCCACGATAGAACGAAACGGCTGTCCAGTGCTTCCAGGTTTCCCTTGGTGGTCTAGCTTAAATTGAGCCATGATCTCAACTATTAAAATTACTATAATATCCACGAAAACCTCTTCTGATATTAAGATATAATTCTTAAGTGGAAGAGTAGGTCACTATACTATATATGAGGTTGGAGATAATGATTTAAAAGAATCTATCACTAATACTAACTGTGAATCCTAATAATGTTCTCATAAATAAACCAGAAGTTTCAAACGTCTAGGAAGTGACGTACGACAAACTGCTATACAGTCTATGTGCCCTTAAATAAGCAGATGAGGTACTTACCTATTTCAAAGATGGAACCGGATGGGGAAATTTAAACAACCTATTGTGGTATTATAAATATTTATTCGATCACCAACACACAAGGACTAACAGGAAACTTTCTAAATAAATGAAGTTATCAAAGTAATTAACCATTTCACTTAACATATCCATGGAATAAAGTGATGTAGATGTCTTGAGGTAATATTTTGTATTCGAAGGACGAAAATTGTAATCTAACAATCTAAGTACTGTATCTTAATACATTTGAATGATTCACATTTAGTGAAAAGGCAAAAGGTATTAGTGAGCAAATCTAAGACAGCGGTTAGGAAAATTTCCTCAACATACTAAATGCAGGTTTTATTAGACAAATTGCTCTTGACATCAAAAGTGAGTGGATTTGACCGACTATAAATCGATTCACTGTGCAATGTCAATTACATTCAGATTCATCTGCTGCTTATTCACCAATTAGATACAAATTCTAGTAATTAAATTCAGTACAAAACTATGATTAATTCAAAGAACAATCAATGAGCAATTTGTATAGTTGAGAGACGAAAAGATGCAAATATGTGTATGAAAAAACAAATTGTTGTAGTAAGATGGTGGTTGGAGGTGGTCAACAGGAAACCTTAGACCCGGGTTTCGTGCTACTTGGCACTCGTCAGCAAGGTGTACCTGTAATCTTGAGGGAACTGGTGTTCCCTGACGGATACGATCACGTGCCACTCAGCTTCGGAGTCAGAGACGTTACCACTGAGCTATTTGGGCCGCGACCGACCTCCTTTAGGACTGAGATGTAATCACAATTGATTGATCACTGGGTGGTGATCAATGTCATGCGTGTCAAGTCCTTCTTAGTGCTGATCGAATGCTATCGATCAACAAACAAACAAATTGTTGTAACTCAAAAAAAATACTGATATGGCCATTTATATAACTAAGGATACGACTGGTTACTCGCTGCTATATAACAGAACGAAGACTGATGCTACTCACTGAATGGAAAGGTAAAACTGAGGATGGAGATTTTATACAGCTGATAAACATTATATCAAAAATTACAATGGGTCATATATAATATGGTTATCTGTTCGATAATTCAATTTTAATACATTGAATGGGGGATTGCTTGACATGAACTAACTAATGATTTATTACATGTTTACAATTGACAACAACAATAGCAACAAATTTAACTGCATTCACTAACAAGGTAATAAATCATTAAGTTGCTTCTTTTGACACTACTTATGAGTAACACAATGAATTCAACTAAACAATATATGTCATTTAAAATAGAACCAACCAACTTACACGGATACATGAGAAATCTTTCAAATTCCATAATCTCACGTCTCCATCACCCGAAGCAGTAAGTACAATCTTTAAAAATGATTTCAAACAAATATCGTACAGTATGTTGTCTTACCAAACACGAATATAAATTAAAAGGGAAATAATTCATACCATAAAACTTTTCATGAAGTTATTAATTTATTACATAAGGAAAGGAAATTTTGGAGAGACCATAATTTATGGACGACCTTTGAACGAATCTTGAGTGACATTGAGAAATATTAACCAACCAGTAAACAGTAAGGATAGAGTAAAAATTTATTATACAAAACCAAATAACTGAGGTGGATACACTTCTTTCATATAGTCCAAAAACTTGCCAAGTTTAGAAAAACGTTCAAAGGTTCCGAAATCGTAATGCATAAGGTAGTAGAACTCATCCATATGACTCCATAATAGTTGGTCTCTGGAGCCATGATAAGGTCACAAAAACCCTCTCAAACTCCACCACATAGTTTCATTATTGTTTGTGTGTACTCCGGTTGTGTAGGTTTATCATTTTTTATTATGGATAAGTCCCTACAATACTCATACCACTGAACAGCCGAAGTTTCAGTGACATCTGCGAATATTGCATCCAATTTTACTGGCTCTTTTATTATGTAGTTCGCGACAATTATTATAATATGCCTTAGTCTCAATCTGGACCGAGCAATCTAAATCCTAGCAAACGTCTTCCTCCAACATATATTACATCGAAGGACAACATCACGGTAGTCTGCATATGGTCTATAAGTCATTTAATTACCACAATTACAAATACAGCAACTTCTTAGTAGTTTCATTTGTTGTGGCCGCTTAATTATCAAGTCTTCTCTAAAATTCTATGTGAACCGATCGTACATCAGCATCAGGCACTGAAATTGGCGCTGTGACCTTGAAATCCCTCAAACGCTTCTGAGTGGCTCGTCCACAAATTATAGTCTCGCCGAAATTTTTACCTTACTTTGTTTTATTCTACTACAAAACGAGCATTAACTTAAAGTCAAACGAATCAAGTTTGAAAATATCACATGAAGTTACCTATAATTAAGTCCAATATTATTAATTCAGTCCTATGAAAACTCTCTGTAACTATCAACATAAGACTACTTTTGTATGTACAAAAGCAATACTAAAGCTACTGAACAGCAAATTCTAGATTCAAGTTCAGTTAATTTCATTATATCTGTATACAAGTTAACGAAATTCTTTTGTTAAATGCTTATAGGATTATCGCCCCCAAATGCCCTGGTACAGCCGAGAGTGGGCAGAGTCCGCTCTCCCTCTCCAAATGCTCTCACATGGCCACGCATATATAGTCTCTACAATGGAAATCATACTCACTGCCTTCTCGTCGCATTACTGTTGTTTTCGAAATTGAGAGGACGAAAAGCCAATGTCCGGCGCTTTAACCGGGTTGGTGGACACGGCGAGTCCACCTAGGGGAGTTGCAAAACTCTGGTCCGAAACCAATGGTGCACATGGGCTCCAGTATCCTAAAGGAACAAATGATTGATCACCGGCTACCATGGGAATGCATCTCCTCATGATGCTCTATTGCCTTGTGGATCAGATCTTTAAGTCAATGGCTCGGGGTGTGGCCCCCCAAGATAACCACCTGTTTCAGTTTGGGAATCTGGGCAGTATCACAGCCCTCACACAAATCAAATGAAATTTGTGTGGTGCATATATATTTTGTGCCCCTTTGCACCAATATTTATGTGTTTAAATAAATAAATAAATAAAAGACTATTTGACACACAAATCTTGAGTTAAGCATATCTAAAGAATAGTAAAAAATCAATGCTTTAATTTTGTAATCATTCCTAATTCTGGCGAAGGTATAAGTTTTCTAGAATAAACTGCAGTAGTCTCACTACCATACATAAATTTTAACTCTGATATATGTATGTAGAAACAGAGTGTCCCATGGACATGTCTCTGTTCAATATTATGTCAGATCTTTAATGGTATAAAAACTCGAAACCAATAGAAGGGAATTATTATAACGAGTAAATAGGATAAGGATTAAACATGGTAAACATAAGTGAAAATTTATCAAATGTTTGAAATAGTAAAGACTGTGAAATTCGTGTAGTATAGTTATACTACTTATAAAAAGCTGAAAAAATTACTCTCTCTAGTTCGGAATTTTATCGGTTAATTGTAAGCCAACTATTGTCTTATTGGTCCATACCTTTTTAATCTGTTTGGCTAGAACATTGAACGAGTTATTTTGTACTTTTGTGTGCTATGATCTGATTTTTTGCGTTCACCACCTTGAATGTGAGCTTGACATTAATTATTATCTTCAATATGAGGCTTTGTGGAGATCTGTAGGATTCTCATAGTTTAAATGACGAACTAGTCTTAGCTAAGCCACTATTGAATACTAGCAAACATAAGACAGATGTTTCGTCTTAGAATAGTACTCCATGCCAGTGAACTTGTACAACCTCATCAAGAGATGGGACCCAGGATATTTAGTCTTGCTCGTGGACACTTAGTCATAGACTACTGAGTCGAAATTCAATGGTGTACATGTCTGACTTCAATGAGTTTATGATACTACACGAGCATCTTTCAATAAGTGCGGTGGATAACTGTCCCACACCCGACATGTTTGAGCTCCACTGGTCACAGCTTCTCAATCAACCTCCAGGAATTGCATCTTAGAGCTGTCCACTAGTGAGCACATGATTATTATTGATGTAGGGATTGAAACTGAATTTCAGTATTATTGACTGATTGACGTTTAATCTATTCCATTAGTTAATACATTAGTATCAATCAAGTTTTATATGTAGAAGGTGCCCAGGTGTTGCATCTACGGTCTTGCTAACACACAGTCTGAAACGAGACATCCATGAATCTGTAAGTGGTTGCTTGAAACTCAACCACAAACTACGTTTATTCCTCACTCAAGACATGATCCTTACTTATGTAGTTCCAATCAAAGCAGTGGTACGTAGTTTAATTGTTAAATATTTAAATAACATGGAAATCGTCAATAAGTAACCTACTTTCTTTAATAAATCTATAAAAACTAGATAAAATGGTGAATAGATCTTACTTTCTCAAATCTTGAAAAACAAACAGACCAAACACCTCTACGATGACCCTGAAGAACCCCTTGACAATGTAAACTTTGTTTTTTGAATTCCCATATCTAAAATTTAATGAAATACAAAAACTAATGAAATCACTGGATGAACTAATTAGTTAAAAGATACAAAATACTACAACACGTATAGGAGTGTGTAAAAGTGACAATACGAAATGTATTTTCATAGTTGAAATCATGATTCAATTGAAGCTAGACCACCATCGAAAACCTGGAAGCACTGGACGGCCGTTTAGTCCTACTATGGGACTCCTCAGCAGTGCGCATCCACGATGCCGCACTCGCGAGATTCGTACCCAGGACCAATCAGTCTCGAGCCAGAGCCCTTAACCGATAGACCACTGAGCGGGACCGTGGATGCGCACTGCTGAGGACGAAACGGCCGTCCAGTGCTTCCAGGTTTTCGATGGTGGTCTAGCCTCAATTGACTCATGATTTCAACTATGAAAATACTAAATTCTCCACAAAACCCCCTCTGAACAATACGAAATGTAATATTATTAATTACTCCATTAACAATTGAACAAAGTTTCAGCTACTTGACCATTGTGTAAAGGAAAATACAATGAATTATTAGTTACCTTAACAGTTTTATCGCGTGAAGCAGTAGCAACAAGACGATTATCAACGGAAACATCAATTGAATTGATTACTCCACCATGGGCTCCATGAATTGTGTTCAATTCCGATAACACAGTATCTGGTTTATCTAAGTTATTACACTGAACATTCCAAACTTTTAAAATACCATCTTCTGAGCTAGATATAAGATGTGTTGTCAATCTGTATAAGACAAATAGGCATAGAATATATAAATAAGCATATTTTCTTACAAACAAGCTAAGCAAAAACGTTTTTCATGATGAAAAAACTACTTGAATACGAATGAGATGATGCTAAGCTAATACCTTTTAAACCCAGCAACTTTTGGCAAGTTTTTAGATTTCTTTAATCTTTACAGCTTTGGCAAACCTTAGAAATAAGTGAAAACTAATAAAACTCACGTGAAGCTTACATTTTAATCACTTAAATCATTATTTACACTTAGGGTTCCGGGGATAATTTAAAATACCTCGGTGTGAATAAAAATAGTGTAACTTGTATGGAACTGATAGGATGTCCAAAAGTTAAGTCTAACAGTCAGGTATTATTGATCGAAGAATGAACGACGTACAAACTAATTTCCGCTGATTGCTTGTAGCATTTATTTACGTTTATTTTTTTGCTGATACTTTGAAAATATAGGCATGTCACTTTGCTACATAGAAAAAGCCTATTATTCTGGGTTATGGTCTTGTCTTCGGTTTCAGATCACTTGGCGATTGACGTCATGTGGATATATATCAGACACTCATATCACAATCTTGCATATCGTCTATTGATCAGTTTTTTTTCCACTTTAACAATCGAAAATTCACTTCCTATAATCACAGATGCCTACACCATAAACGTAACAACTTTTACCTACGTTGAAGATGAAGAGGCATATAGACGCTGTCAAATCCCAAACGTTTACAATCATTTCCCATTATCAAAAAGTAAATGAAAAGATATCAAGAGATTAACCTGTTACCATCATAACATTTTAAAAAATGGAATATCGAGGTCTCATAGATTTATAAACCTTCAAAGGCGTGATACTGGATATACTATGGTTAAACTGACTACCTCTACACCCTATTATCCATTGACCATGATTGATAAGGAATACGATGATAGGACAAGCATTAGTGAGCTTAACGACCAGAAAGTTGGCAACATTGACAAAAAAATGTGAATGCCAGTTTTAATGATGTATGTATGAGAAGTAGGGATAGGTAGACAATGTGTTGAATATTGGAGTTTTACCACCCAAGATGGGTGATTACATTCATTATAAGAAGACTATTCGGATCAGACGACAGAAAAAAGTGAGACCACGTTCTTCTTTTAGTTCGGTGTGGTTGCTGTTGAATATTGTTTCATTTTGTAATTCATTGTGATAAATGTTCAGAATAATATTCGCTGTATTTTAGGGTAATACTTTGCTCAACATAAGGTCCCTTTCATTTTTTTTCAATGTGATTTTTATCTAGTATGATATAACTTGTATTAAAAATTAACTTGAACGTTCAGTGTGGCATGGAACATGTGATTTTTCCTACAATTCTAGGCGTTTTTCATACCTGTGAGTTTTTCTAATTAATAATCCAGTGAGTATATAAATTAAGACATTAATGAGTGTGTTTTTGACTAGGATGTCTCTGCCAGGGAAGTCCTACTGACTGCCTTCTCGTGACATTACTGTTGTTTACGAAATTGAGAGGACGAAAAGCGAATGTCCGGCGCTTTAATCGGGTTGGTGGATGTGGAGGATCCACCTAGGGGAGTTGGAAAACCCTGATTCCAAACCAATGGTGCACATGGGCTACAGTATCCTGAAGGAACGAATGGCGTATAAATCCATCGTTGGTCACCGGCTACCATGGGACTGCATCTCCTCACGATGCTCCACTGCCTTGTAGACTAGACCTTTAGGTCAAAGGCTCCGGTTGCGGCTCCCTAAGAAAACTACCTGCTTCAGTCTGGGCACCAGTACAGTATCACAGCCCTCACACAAATCGAATGAGATTTGTGAGGCGCATATGTATCTGGTGCTTTCTTGTACCAATATTTGTGTTTAAATAAATAAATAAATAAATAAATAAATAAATAAATTTTGACTAGGATTGTTATGTTTTTAATTGAGTCAATCTTCACTTGCACCAGTCTTTTGTGTCCTTACTTTTTGTTGTAAGAATTGTAGTGACTCCTCATCGTCAAAGATAAGTAATAGGATGCAACGCGGATATAACAACACACTTTTGCTTATTTTTTATAAAGGCAAATCGTATTGACCACAGATGGTAAAAGATATCATTCACAACAGTGCATGATACAGTTGTTATGCTAGACGCAGTAATTCCATTTAGATGATGCGTTTTCATAAAACTTAGATACTTAAAATACTCGGGAATTGTGGTACTTTTTAGAAAATTAACAAACATACTGGCAGTCTAACACACGGCCATTTAGTTGTGCTTTAGATATTCTATACAGCTTAACCGTTATCATTTGCTACCGAGATCATTATCATTTACACATTCTATACCACGACGATTTTCTGTGCAAAAAATATCAAATGTGTTATTGTATCCATTCAAATCACAAGTTTTCATCGATAGAAAAACAGTTCAGTCAGATTTGCCAAGAAACTGATTAAGTCTGTTCATAGATTTTTTTGTCTTACCTATCGAAACAAACAGAACTGATATGTGCAGCATGTGCCTTGTGAATTTGAGTAATAAGATCCAATTTGACAGGAACAGTTTTAGAAGATTTATGTAGTGATGACGATGTTGAGTCTTCTGATTCTATTAAATGCCATAAACAAATAGACTGGTCTTTAGAACCACTTGCAATCCATTGACCACATATAGATACAGTCAAATCCATAATCACATCAGTATGACCACCGGGAATAAGATGACATTTCCATGAACCATTTGTTTTACTATTAAGATTACCTTCAATCGTATTTTTTCCCTTTGAACTGAGTCCATATGGATTTAAGAAAATTTTCATGTGAGGTGATGCATCAGCTAGAATGAGATAATTGTGATTTTTGCCTGCAATGCATAATTGATCAACTTGTCCAATATCACCTAAAAACTGTTAGAATAAAATTTAAATTCTATTTTAAGAAACTAGATATTCTGGTTTCTTATTTGTATAGATAGGAATTTGTAAGGTCTATTACAAAAGATCAAATCTGACACACAAATAGGTTACTCAAATTGCTAATATCAAATTATTACAAGATAATTAGCAAAATAATTGGAATCATAGTGTGGTTTATGCCACTTATATCTGTAGTAGGAGTATGTAACACTAATCTGAAGTGGAAAACCTGGCAGCAGAAGGTTAAGAAGATTGAGTTGAAGGGAATAGAAAGGAAAATAGGGAAGGATTGTGAACTTCGAGAATCATACAGAATTTGAAGGACAAATAACGGAAATTTGCAAATGAAGTATTCAGTGTATGGTTCTTATATTTTACCAAGATACTTTGTACTTCTATATAAAAGTAAATTTAACTGCCCCCACCTGTGTTCTTGTCTATTGCGATAATGGTAGCAATGATAGTGAGAGAGATTAAACATTGAGAATACGGTTTGAATAGGAATGAAAAGAAAGGATGAAACTACATCAGTCAGCGTCTACAACCACTAAGATCATTGTTATCGCGAGATCATAACCAGCCAGTCTGCTTCTAGCGAAATAGCTCAAGACAATAGTTAATGGTCTTGAGGACTTACGTTTTGAGAAAATGACCTATCCAACATTTATTGAAGTATACGGTAACAATTTAAATTGACACCAAATTTGTAAGTAATATACACGGTAAATTAAGGAACGTATTTCTTAACAATAAGCGAACCCTATAAAACCAAACAATCGTAAACAATTGCACAAGAATGAAGGTAATCCAACGTCTAACAAGATAAGTTAGTGTAAAAAAGTTCTGATCATGCTAACAAAAGCATGTTATGTTTGGGAGAGAACAAATTAAGTTTTAGACTAAGAGGAAATTAGGAAAAGGTGTTGGAAATCAATAGGATATATGTCATGAAAATCATCAAACTGCATCACTAAGGATCCATTAACTTGCAATCCTGAAGGGAAACGGAAAAAAGGAATACCAAGGAACACATTGTGTTGGGAATTAGAAGCAGATATGAAAAGGGTGAATAGTAAATGGAAAAAACTGAGAAGGATTGTCCAGGACAGAGTTCGATGGAGAATGTTTGTGGGCGGCCTATTCTCCTCCATGATGGGTAACAGGCGTAAGTAAATATGTTTGTAAGGATTTTAGAAGAAGAATGGTAACTCAATTCAGGACAAAAATAAACAGTATAATCTTTTAAGTTTTTCACTTCACATATTCTAATCTGCCATTTATTTTCATCTTACTCGAAATAAACAATAAGCCTGTTGTAAAATTTCTAATTAATACTGACGCTCTTTAATAGGTATGCTCCTAATTTGATCACGATATATTTAAGTTAACACCATAAAAAGAGGATATTATTTATTTAACATGTTTTGATTAGTCAATTGCTTTTACTTAGAGACCATTTTTAAAAATGAAATTATGAACACATTTTACGGTTTGTAGGTAGAGTTCGTTACAGACTGATCTGAGTTTGCTTACTTACTTACTTACGCCTGTTACTCCCAATGGAGCATAGGCCGCCGACCAGCTTTCTCCAACCCACTCTGTCCTGGGCTTCCTTTTCTAGTTCTATCCAGTTTTTGTTCATTCTTCTCATGTCTTTCTCTATTTCAAGGCGTAATGATCTGATTTTGCGTCCGATTGAAAATCAGAGAGCACTGAACAACTACTTCGTTATGGCATTAAGTTCTTCAGAAGTGGACACCGACAACCTTGTCAGAGATCGAATCCATAAAGCTTAACGACCAAAACCACTACGTCACCGTTCATTAGTATAATTCTAATTTTAATCGTTTTTTAATATAGTGCGACGATCATTTAATACTACTGGTGACAACTATTTCACATCGGTTCGAGTTGCCATACCATATTAGCACAGAGATGCAGCTGTCGATTCAAATCCCATAGTGGTAGAAGTAGTAAGAGTATAGGCAGTAAACCGAGGGATTAGGGTATGAAGACGTTATTCAAGGAGTATAATACAGTGAAATAAATTTGGAAAGAAAAAAAGGATAGTAACCTGAAGAATTCAGAAAATTAGAATTTGGCAGAACGCAAAGAGTGGGTGCACCTTCGCCATCGTAAACGATTTTGAGCCATGTCATTCAAGGTCTGTAACCATCAATCGCTATCATCTCGCGAATCCCAACCAGGTAGTCTACACCTACCAACATGGCTCAGTTCACTTGTCAGCGACTTCATGGATTTGTGCCACATTTTGTTTTGGCCGCCCCTAGCTTTCTTCCAACCTACTTTTACGCCATAAAACATTGCAAGTCGGCGCAGCCTGTGGTTGGGCATACGTAACACGTGTCCCAGCCATCTCAACTGATGAGGTTTCACTACTTTATCAATCGATTCGCCATCCTTATTTAGTACCCGTTTCCTGACAACTGCATTACTCACCCGGTGGTCCCAGGATATACGAGCAATGCTTCAAAGACACCTATGATCGAATACTAGCAGCCTACGAATATTCTATACTCTTGCCGACCATGTTTCACTGTCGTAAAGTAGGACAGAACGAACTGCTGTGCAGTATACCCATCCTTTGGTTGCTAGATGGATATCTCGCCCACGCCATAAATGACGTAAGTTGGTGAAAGCTAGTCGAGCGTTCTGTATCCGTGCTGAGATTTCATCACACACCAGACCACAAGGGCTGATGAGACTTTCAAGATAAGTGAAGCGGTCAACACGCTCAACTGCTTCATTCCCTATCGTTAGTTCAGATGCCGACGCAACCCAATCCTGAAGTAACATTTTGAACTTCGAGGGGGAGAATCGCATCCCGAACATGCCTGCATAATTGCTTATAGTGGTCAGAAGACTGAATTTTGTCAGCGTCTTCGCCAAATAGAACTATGTCATCGGCGTATTCTAAGTCAACAAATGAGTCTCCCGGTAAAGTTCAACTCCTGGAGATTTAGATGATGAAAGTGTTATCTCTGTAAAGTAAATGAAATTAATTAACTAATATAACCAATTTAGAGCATAAAATTTTACGAATTAAACTGGAAACTTTTCATATGATATACATACGATACAAGTCAAATTCAAATAATTTGATATGTTCTACCGTCAATAGTGTTATGACTTGAAAGTTGACCGTCTAGATCAATTGGAAGAATGACAATCATGTTACTTACTCCAGTTTATGAGTAATGATGGTTGTGCGTAAGTTTTCTTTCGGAAATAGATAATATAATCAGCACTGATCTCGTTGACAATATGATTTCTAGTAAACTTAAACTGAAAGTTTTAGAACAAACGCAAAACTCTCGGAATGACCGCAAGTTTTACAGTACTAGTATATATGTAGACTGTTAATTTGCAATACTTTTTTTGTAATTTAGGTTGGGGATTTTGTGTGCGTTGTATTTTCTAAGTTGGATGAGTTATTCATAAACCTTTCAATGTCTTTCTAAACTACGAGATACGATTGGTTAGTGCTTACAATTGTGTGAAAAGTACGAGTGAAAGTGGAGATATTAGCTTATGTATCTGATCAAGAGGGATAGATTATAATTTATGAAGGACAGTGATAATACCTGGCAGTTTGAACTGAACTGGATGAAACGTGGATCAAAAATATAGCTTTAACATTAAAGCAAACAATTCACTTTAGGAGGGAGAAACAAATCACCACATAGATTCAATTGATGTTCGGAAGCATTTCGAATAACAAACTTATGTTTTCAAAAAATTATAAAATTATAAAATGAATAAATTAAGAATAAAACTACTATACCTCAGCCGTTAATTTGCCAACCATTGGGTCATAAAATTCAACATGATTACTTTGACGTACAAGAACTAATCGTAGAAATGAGTCTTTACTTTCATCCAACACATTATCATTATTGTCTTTTACGTTGTATACATTCAAATGACTGATGGAATGAAGTCCATAGTCAATTGAATGGCGATCTAACGTAGTGAGACTACCGGAATCAGATTGAGGAGTCCGATCTAGGGGACCTTTGATCTCTAACACACAATGACCAGTATCTAAATCCCAGCAACGTAAACAACCCCACTGACCGCCAGTCAACAATAAAGAAGTATTACTTTCAGAAAACTTGTGACCCAAGTGATTTGTTAATGCGCCAACAGGAAGGAAAGCACAAGCTTCTAAGCTCTATAAAATTGAGAAATACGGCACATTATAATTAGGAATATTGTAAGTTATCAACACAACAACAGATACGCAAAATAAAAGGGTAACAGAACTGTTCAGAATTTAGAATGAAAAAAGAGAGCAATTTCTTCATTGTATTTGATTTTGTGTCGTCTTCAATCATCGACTTTCACTACCTTGAGGATCTCATCTAAGAAATCTACGTCTTATCAGTATCACTAATAAGGCGATAATCTATATAAAGATTTTTCAACAAAATATCGGCCTTCGAAAGATTAAAAGGGAAGGTTGCTGTGGTGTGTGTCACGATTAAAAACAAGATTTAAAGAAACAACGTAAATATTAGCTAAATCTATCGTATCGGCACTACATTAATATTTAAAAGATTATAAACGTTTGCGTTGTAACTATCAATATACCTTGAAAAATTCAGAGACTAGCTCTGTCTCAGTGTTATCATCTCGCATACTTCTTCTCAGTGAATAACTACAACACATTTGCTACTAAGATTCCTTAAGGCTTAGAACCTGCAAAGTTGATTTTACCATACCGGAATACCAAATAATATTTATCCCTATCACAGTTAGTTGTACGCTCATAACGATACATTAAACTATAGCAAAAAAAGCATTATCTATTAGCAGTTATTAGGACGAGCAGTATATGAAGGTTGAGAATTATATCGAATGCCGACGGCCACAATAGATTGCATGGAACTAAACGATTTGGACTTCACACATAATCTAGCTCTTTTATCTCATGCACATGAACAGATGCAGGTCAACACAACCAGTGCGAAAGAAGTCACTGCACCAGTAGGCCTCAACATACACAAACGAAAAAGCAAGAACCTCAGATATAACACGGAGAACACAAACCTTATCACAATTGATGCAGAAACTCTGGAAGAGGTGGAAACTTTCACGTACCTGAGCAGCATCATCGATAAACAAGGAGGATCCGATGCAGACGAAAGGTGAGGATTGGCAGAGCATTCCTACAACTGAACAAAATATAGAACTCATAACAACTGTCTCCAAATCAACACCAAAGTCTGAATCGTCAATACGAACGTCAAGACAGTTCTATTATACGGAGCAGAAACTACCAGAAATACCACAACCATCACCAAAAAGCACAAGTATTTATAAACAATTGTCTGCACAAGATACTCAATATCCGTTGGTCGGATACCATCAAACACAGCCTACAGTGCGAGAAACGAAACCAGCTTCCAGATGAAGAGGAAATTAGGAAAAGATGGTGGAAATCAATAGGATATACATCACGGAAATCATCAAACTCCTTCACTAGACACCCATTGACTTGGAATCCTGGAGGGAAACGAAAAATAGGAATACCAAGGAACATATTGTGTTGGGAATTGGAAGCAGGCATGAAAAGGATGAGTAGTAAATGGAAAAACTGGGAAGGATTGTCCAGGACAGAGTCCGATGGAGAATATTCCTTTTGACTACCTCCAATCACCTAATATCAAACATAGCGGACAGAATTTTGAATCACTGAGACTGGTGGTTACATTATAACTTGGTTGACCGAGTTCGATAAGCACTGGAACTATAAAAGCATAACATTCATTAGAACCCAGTGATCAACCAATGCACGTTTAAATATTCCATTATATGACTTACCTCAAAGGTAGGTATGACTTTTTGTTTTGTGAAGTCTACGGACGACCAGACAATAAGAACTTTATCTCGCCCACACCTGGAAACACATGAAGAGGGAAAATTTCGTTTCTTACGTAACTAATTCTTTTTTTGCAACATTGAAGTCCAGACTTGTAACAATGCTTTGATGACCTTCTAGAGAAGAGACATGTTTTCCAGTCTCAGTATCCCACACAGCTACAAAGTGATCACCCACTGACGATGAGAAAAGGTACGGTAATGTCGGATGGAATTTCAATAGTCTGTAATGGAATAATAAGAATATGCAACGAAAATAGCACAGAACTCATGGATCAAAAATAAAATAATAAACGTAGATATTCCCTTTGAGGAAACTGATCCGAAAATAGGGATCCAAAACTTTAAAGATATGGCAAACATTAACACACAGAAACATTGTCAGACTAAAGAAGAGCTATTCCTAAATGCCCCGGTACGACCGAGAGTGGACAGAGTCAGCTATCCCTCTCGAAATACTCTCACATGACCACATGTATACAACCACTGACAGGGAAGTCCTACTTACTGCCTCTTCGCAGTGGGGTTGTTGTTTACGAAATTGAGAGGATGAAAAGCGTACATCTGGTGCTTTAACCGGGCTGGTGGATATTGAGGATCCACCTGTGGGGGTTGGAAAACACAGATGCACAGGGGCTCAAGGATCTTGATGGAACGAATGACGGATGAACTTATTATTGTCCACCGGCTACCATGGAACTGAATTTTGTGACGTTACTCCACTGCCTTGTGGATAAGACCTTAAGGTCAATGGCTCCGGGTGTGGCCCCTTAAGAAAACCATCTGTTTCGGTTTGGACAACCAGGCAGTATCCCTTCCCTCACGCAAATCGAATTTGTGTGGCACATATCTTTTTGGTGCCTCTTTGTACCAATGTTTGTGTTTAAATAAAGAAATAGTAAATAAAGAAGTACCACTGTGCAATTCAAAAAATTAAAATTTTTACCAGTATAGGATATTATCTAGACTTCTGTGAGTAATACAGCCATACACTACTAAGTACGTTTTCATGTTGTGGAAAAAATTGTCAGACAAACCAATTGATATTATTCTTGGTGTCCACATAGAAGTAAGTGGTTTTCTTAGGAGGCCACTCCCCGAGCCTTTGACCTTAAGGTCTTATCCACAAGGCAGTGGAGTAACGTCACAAAATTCAGTTCCATGGTAGCCGGTGGACAATAATAAGTTCATCCGTCATTCGTTCCATCAAGATCCTTGAGCCCCTGTGCATCTGTGTTTTCCAACCCCCACAGGTGGATCCTCAATATCCACCAGCCCGGTTAAAGCACCAGATGTATGCTTTTCATCCTCTCAATTTCGTAAACAACAACCCCACTGCGAAGAGGCAGTAAGTAGGACTTCCCTGTCAGTGGTTGTATACATGTGGTCATGTGAGAGTATTTCGAGAGGGATAGCTGACTCTGTCCACTCTCGGTCATACCAGGGCATTTGGGAGTATGAAAAACATTGTCAGTGATTTTACACCTAACATAGTATCATTAAAATGTGTTTTACCATTTTATTTGTTGAAATTGACAATTTCAAGTCAACTAGCATAAAAATAATTAAATCCATACCTTTTGAGTACATCAATGTAGTAGTTCTTCAAAATAATGGTTTGCAAATATCTACTTCTTTCCTACTCCAGTGCGAAAATTCATCCAAAGTATTATTACTAATTTTGTCGAGTCTAAAAATTTCGGTGACCTTTTGAGTTCGGATTTTTAGTGCTGGTTATCCAAAAGATCAAGAAATATCAGACGATAGGATTTAAATGTAGTGCACATCCAAGTAGTCTACTGTACTCAACACCTTTGTAGTAAATAATACCAAATGAATTTGTAGTAAACAGTTGCATCTGCTCTACCCAGTCCTAATATCTGGAGAGCTAATATTCCGGCAATCAGGGACTATGCTATCTTAATTGACTGGTCGGTCGATGCTGATGGATCGATTGATGATGCATGGAATAGGTTTAAGTCTACGTTCGAATCCGTAACTCAACCGTTTATCCCATGGTCAGCACGTAAGCTATCACATTGCCCTCCATGGATTAATAAGGAAACCCGGAAGCTGTTGAAGCGTAGGAAACACTTCTAGGACTTACTCTTGTCAACAGGTCAGGTATCATTTAAGTGCGAATATAAAAAACCCGGAATATATATAAAAAGACCATACGTAAATCTCGTACCGCTTACGAACGACAGTTGGCATGCGATAGCCGTACCTGTCCGAAGCGACTGTTTTCGTATGTTAAAAGGCGGACGAAACGTAGTGATGGTATCCCCTCATTACTGTTAAGCGAAAATTCAGATTTATTGGCTGAATCTGATCTATCGAAAGCTGAGACATTTGCTAACTATTTCAGTGAAGTCTACTCTATGTGTAGTGTTACAACTACTTGTCCCGTTGACAATGAGATACCAGCCATGGGACCTTTACACGTGACAGAGGATATTGTTCTTCCTTTGATAACTAACCTAAAACCTTGTAAGATACCGGGCCCCGATGGGTTACACCCACGTTTATTGTCGTCGCTTGCGGACATTATCTCAAGACCGCTCACGATGCTCTTCAACATGTCCCTTTCACAGGCTCAACTACCTAGAGACTGGAAAGACGCCATAGTTAGTCCTATATTTAAGGATGGTCAGAGACAGATCGTATCTAACTACCGGCCTGTTAGCCTGACCAGTATAGTAGTTAAGTTACTTGAAAAATTAATTTGGGCTAAGCTACTGAGCCACATAGATTCGTATAATCTGTTAACTCCCGAGCAACATGGGTTTCGTAACAAGCATCCATGCTTGACTAACTTACTCATTGCGAGAGAGGATTGGACAGCTGCCCTAGACAACGGCCAGTCTGTCGACGTGATATTCATAGGTTTTAGCAAAGCGTTTGATAAGGTTTCACACTTAGGTCTTATGCAAAAGCTCTCGAGCTTTGGAATAACAGGTGCTATACAGGAATGGATAGGAAGCCTCTTATGCGACCGTAGACAGAGAGTGAGGATCAATGGAACGCTATCCGAATGGAAACCGGTCAAAAGTGGTGTACTCCAAGGCACCATCTTAGGCCCTCTACTTTTCCTTCTGTATATTAATGAACTACCTTTATTACTTAAGTCGTCGACGTTATTTTTTGTGGGTGATGTTAAAATTTGGAGAACAATAAGAAATGAGACTGATCGTTGTTATCTGCAAGCAGATTAAGACGAATTAGTTAGGTGGGCTCATGATTGGGGCCTGGAAGTTAATTCCAGGAAGAGCGTGTTCATGCACATCGGGCACGATATTAGTTACCATTATACCATTAACGGTACATCTCTGCCACGTGTTCATGAGCACAAAGACTTAGGAGTAATTATAAGTCACGACTTAAAAACTACTACGCACTGCAATGCGGTTGCTTCCAAAGGCTTTCGCGCGCTATAGTCGCTTCGCAGAGCATTTAAATGCTTTGACGAGGAGAAGTTTCGAATTTTATATCCCACCTATGTAAGGCCACACTTAGAATACTGTATCCAAGCAGCTAGCCCATGTCTGATAAAGGATACTAAATCGCTTGAGCGTGTCCAGCGTGTAGGGACAAAATTAGTGAAGTGTCTTTCTAAACTCCCTTACGATGAGCGTTTAAAACGTCTAAACCTTTTCCCCTTATCTTATCGTAGGACGCGAGGTGACCTTATACTGGCATTTCGTATCTTTAATTATGATCTGGGTGTTAATATGTCTTATCTTTTTGCTCCCTCCAGCACTAATAATCTCCGGGGTCATAGCAAGAAGGTTCTGAAACCGCGATCTAATAAACTAAAAGTGGGGTCCCGTTTTTCCCATCGAGTGTTCAATGACTGGAACGCTTTACCAGAACAAGTGGTATCAGCACAACCAGTGAACATTTTCAAGAAGCTGGACCTTCACTGGAAGGAAATCTGTCAGGATTAACACAGGTTTATCAACCTACTATCCTTATTATTGAAGACTGAGTTATGATGCAAAATATGAGACGCTTATGTGTACTATTAGTCACTAATTTGAGAATGTCACGTACTTGAGATTTGTCAATAATGGCATAACAGTTATCAGGTATGATAGAAATACTGGACTTTTTGATAAATTTGAGATGAGAAAGAATTTAAGAACTGTTTGGAACATATATTGCTGGCCTTTTTTAGTGTTAATCTTAACGTGTAGCAATATATTAACTTGAATTGTGTCAAACTAAAAACAGTCCACTTACGTTATCATTCCCTGATGCAATCGACAGCTTGTTGAGAATCCTTCCTTTGGACCAATATGCCATAATCTAACAACCATATCTCCTGAACCGGTAGCTAATCGTGTTGAAAATTTGTTAAGCGCCATTTTCTGCACGATTCTTTGATGACAAGACTAGCCAGAAAGTCAGAGTTCCAAGTGAACAACTCACCATCCATACTTTTGTAGGCCTTGGAGCACAGCTATCAAGACGTTTTAAAAGCAAATTTTTAGTAGCAATAAATATCTCCTAGAGAATAAGAAACGTAACAACTCGTGTTTACCGATCCCGCCTCATCGACAACGAAAGATGTGATAAGTTCATCATCCTGAAATTAAAGCAAAAACGCCAAACAATTTACCTGAATTCTGTTGACTAAAGCAAACGAATTTTCATCTAGTACATTTATACACAGTGAGTCGTCAACATCTCTTCCACAATAAATTTTTCCTGACTCGGTGGGCTGCGTATTTTAATAACTATAAAATACGATTCACTTACGAAGATCGAATATTGAGAGTTAAAACAAGGCTGAAATTTATCAGCTAGTTTGAACCTTAACAAGGGACTCGTTATAAAAGTTAAAAGCCTACTTTAGTTTAGTATCCATGTGACTGAAGTCAATAAGAGCGCTGGCGTTAAGGTGAAGTCAAGGCCTCTATGACTCAGAATAATGTCCTATTACTCATAATTAACAATTTTTTTGATAATTTCGAAGATCAGTTAATTCTTTTGCTTCAGATCAATTCTACCTACTTAAGATTACACTTTTACTGATCGAAATTTTCGGATTTCTGACAAATTCAAATGCTGTTTCGAAAGCAATGAATCACCTGTTCCTTCACTTAAGGGCCTATAGTGTAGTCCAAGTATTTAGTGCACTCAGCTAGTGGGTGTACCCATAATCAATTTTGGAACATTCTGCTTTTATTTTATAGGCAGTATTCCTAAGGTCAGTGTTGGAATCGACCCCGATAGGTCTTTTAGAGGATAACTGGGAGTGTTTAGGATACTGTAATTCATTGGCAGCAGCATCTACAGCAATAGATGCAAAAATATACTAGAGGAAAAAAAATACTGAAATGCAACACAGTGAGCACTAATTCAATCACACTTGACGGAGAAGCTCTGAAAGAGGTGGAGACTTCCACATAGTGGGCAGCATCACCGATGAACAATGAGGATCTGGTGCAGATATGATGGCACAGGCTGACAGAGTACGCAATCGCATCTCCGGGCGCGCTCCGAAGAGATTGAAACTGAGAGGCGCAACAGCTTTAAACTGTGCACTAGCCCGGCATTTACTTGAGACCCAGCAAACTATTCACATTCCACAAGACTTAAAAAGTGATAATAGATAGATGATACAGCGCCTCTCCGGTTTACCGAAGCAATAGTGTAGAATTATGACCCACTTCTTTATAAGTACGATTATAATGATCGACCTAATCTTAAAATTATAGATGTGCCACGATGTGACTATCTAATCTGTAAGATCTTACAAGGAAGTCACATAACTTTATATTCTTACTCGCCGTATCGTGACAATGAGCGATACTAATTTGGCGTTTGTGAAGAATACATACAGGCTAATGATAGAATAATATATATGAAGTGAATAAAGACGAGCTACACATAATGACAATGTCTGCAAGGCTTGCCAAGCTAAATATCTTCCACAGTCAATTGGGTATTAGGGGTTTCAAAGCCAAAGAGACATTGATGCTCCAGAACCCATATATCTTTACTGGTTCAGAAATAACTTGACAGAGTACTGAAGAGATGAGCAAATATACATTGATTCTCTCTTGATACCCTCTTCAAGTGTTCTCTTGTTAAAAGTTGACTATCATTTGACTTTTAAAATGATGCAGCCATACTTGTGCACAAAGGTGGTAACTAGGTATAAACTGCCGATCTCTGTCTAATATTCTTTCTCTCTTTGGTTATCAAGATCATTTGAATAGTTATTAGTGCATTTCTTCTGCCCCGTCTTCTTGATAATTCTCTTTTATCCACATTCTCGGTAGACCTTGTAGTACAAATTTACTGACTGTTTGGAAAGGCCGTACTCTCTCTTTGGAGCATATCTACTTTATACTGATAAGCTTCGCAGATACCTTCGAGGCATTAGATTAAGTTAATCTTCGAGCTCTTCTGGAAGCTAAATCTTGCTAGAACTATCAGTTGTCTGGTGAAGTTGATTTAAGGTCGATAATGGGAGAGACCTCTAGGGCCAGTAAATGTTACTGGCCAGTGAATATCAGTGAATATCGAATAGATCATCGATTCCCACCAGGGTTGAGGACAACCAACACACCTCAATCATTTGCACACATGAACAAGAGCATGAGATGGTGGTCACATTTTTTCTTGTACCTACTATTATTGTTACATTTTTGTGACAACGTTATGTGAGCTGAATGATTATTAAAGTGGCAATAGTACCTGAATACATTAGAAGGGTAACCCACGTTAAGTATTAACCACGATGTGTGACTTAGACGCAGGTTGGGAGGTCAAGTCATTCTCATCCAACCGGAGTAGGCCCCAAATTATCCACACGGACCTCCTACTTTGGGGATCTGCAAACCATTGATCTTCGAAGTCAGTTCTGCTTTGCCATTAACAGATGGAGTCCCACAAGTATTGATCCTAGGGTCGCTTGATTATTATCGCCGACCAACAGCTTACTTTATACTTAAGAATCACAGACTACTATATTCAGATGATCTCAGTAAGATACGAGATCCTGCTGACATGTCTACTTTTCAAGAAGTATTGGATAAGATACTGTGATAACTAGGAGTACTTGAATTATAGTACAAACTAGGAATCCCTGAAATAAAGCAATTCAATCAAGAAATACTAGATAAGCATGAACGAATGTATTATATTTGGAATTCAAAATCAGACAGTCATCAAGTACGAAGGAACCATTGGTTCATCCAGATATGTAACTGAGTCATCGATTGCCTCCTTCTCATAAATATCAGCTAATGCAAAATGTCAATATTAAACTTTCCGAATGTGTCATGCCTTACAGTTTTCACCACTGTGAAGTAATTCGGCATCATCCTAAGCGGTACTCCAGATAACTTCTCATTAGGATTCTGTAGCCAGCGAAGTACAGTCTATAGCGGTAAATGAACCCTCAAAATCAATAGCTCCGTAAGTTTCCGACATTGGATGCTATTCACATTAGTTTTAATGAACTCGCTTAGCTGAAGGCGCCCGGTGATGCATCCATACCAGATCACGAGTGGAAACGCCGTGCTCAACATCCCCCGCAATCGCTAGCCAGCCTAGATTAGTTGATTCCCAATATATTGATGGCTTATCAAATATATCTTCGAACCCCTCGGTCCCGACTTTTTATTTCACTAGGTGGGTACGATTAATAGTAGAAGGTGTACAGTCAAAGCGTTGTCAAACCCCAAGTACTTGTGGGAAAGTCATTGATGAGCTCGACGTGATCTACTACATCAATTCGCAAACTGTATGTCTGTTCCTTTTCGGAATTTCATATATCATTGCTATACTTTAATCTTCATATATTGTAATATTTTTGTATTTTTGAATATTTTTCCTCTCGTTCATTCCTATGTTGCATATTCATCATGACTGAACAGACTCCTAGGTCACTTAAAACCAAGACTAGTACACCATCCTCATTTCAGGTAATGCCCTTCTGGTTAGACAAGAAATATCTCTTAGTCTCGCTCAAAACTCATGATGCTCGTTTCGACCATGTTCATTTGGATTTGGTAGGACCTTTACGAGATTCAAATGGATACTTTTACTTTTTAACCTATGTAGACAGTTTCACTCGATGACCGAAGGCAGTACCCATCAAACACATTACTGCTGAAACAGTAGCTAACGCCTTCGTCGAACGATGGGTAGCAAATTTCGACTGCCCTTCAACCATCACTACAGGCAGCTGATGCCAGTTAGAATCTGGACTTTTCCGTTGTCTGACCACACTACTAGGAATAACTCGCTTCCGGACGACCGCCTACCACCCACAAGCAAACGGGTTGGTGGGACGCTTTCATCTACAACTAAAAGCCTCACTCTCAGCTGAATACGTTTCACAGTTGACCGACACTCTTCCACACGTCTTACTTGGCACTGGTGATGCAGTGAAAGCTGACATTGGATAAACTGCAGGTAAACTTGTTTATGGAACGTCATTCAGAATTCCAGGGAAATTCGTGAATCCTTCAGCTTCTTCAGCGAATATGAATCTAAACCTCTACACGAGCAAGCTTAAAAACGCAACGCGTTCAGTTAGACCTGCTTCCACTTGACCGTAGTCAATTGATATTTTCGTTCAACCTCAATTACGATTTAGTACAAACGTCATTGTACGTCGAGACTCTCGAAACAACATACGAAGGACACTTTAAAGTTCTTCAGTGTTAGCCTGAGTATTGTATAATCGGTAAGAACGGAACTAACTGTAGCATCAGTATCGATCGAATCAAAGCAGCGTATTTAGAAGGAAACCCTATCCATGCAGATTTTTCTTCGGTACAATCGAACGACAAGGCTTCCACACTTATAATACCTCATCTGACAGCCAATACGCACGTTGATACTTCTGCAGTGTCTGAAAATAAACTTAAAACAGCTCGTTCTGCAACAAGAGTAAGGTTTCCAGAATATTTCAGTCTTCAGTTTTCAGTAATAAGGATAGTAGGTTGATAAACCTGTGTTAATCCTGACAGATTTCCTTCCAGTGAAGGTCCAGCTTCTTGAAAATGTTCACTGGTTGTGCTGATACCACTTGTTCTGGTAAAGCGTTCCAGTCATTGAACACTCGATGGGAAAAACGGGACCCCACTTTTAGTTTATTAGATCGCGGTTTCAGAACCTTCTTGCTATGACCCCGGAGATTATTAGTGCTGGAGGGAGCAAAAAGATAAGACATATTAACACCCAGATCATAATTAAAGATACGAAATGCCAGTATAAGGTCACCTCGCGTCCTACGATAAGATAAGGGGAAAAGGTTTAGACGTTTTAAACGCTCATCGTAAGGGAGTTTAGAAAGACACTTCACTAATTTTGTCCCTACACGCTGGACACGCTCAAGCGATTTAGTATCCTTTATCAGACATGGGCTAGCTGCTTGGATACAGTATTCTAAGTGTGGCCTTACATAGGTGGGATATAAAATTCGAAACTTCTCCTCGTCAAAGCATTTAAATGCTCTGCGAAGCGACTATAGCGCGCGAAAGCCTTTGGAAGCAACCGCATTGCAGTGCGTAGTAGTTTTTAAGTCGTGACTTATAATTACTCCTAAGTCTTTGTGCTCATGAACACGTGGCAGAGATGTACCGTTAATGGTATAATGGTAACTAATATCGTGCCCGATGTGCATGAACACGCTCTTCCTGGAATTAACTTCCAGGCCCCAATCATGAGCCCACCTAACTAATTCGTCTTAATCTGCTTGCAGATAACAACGATCAGTCTCATTTCTTATTGTTCTCCAAATTTTAACATCATCCACAAAAAATAACGTCGACGACTTAAGTAATAAAGGTAGTTCATTAATATACAGAAGGAAAAGTAGAGGGCCTAAGATGGTGCCTTGGAGTACACCACTTTTGACCGGTTTCCATTCGGATAGCGTTCCATTGATCCTCACTCTCTGTCTACGGTCGCATAAGAGGCTTCCTATCCATTCCTGTATAGCACCTGTTATTCCAAAGCTCGAGAGCTTTTGCATAAGACCTAAGTGTGAAACCTTATCAAACGCTTTGCTAAAACCTATGAATATCACGTCGACAGACTGGCCGTTGTCTAGGGCAGCTGTCCAATC